CATGTCATTAAGGACATCATCCAGATGCCTCTTAAACAGTGACAGGCTTGGGGCATCTATCACCTGCAACCCTTTGAGCTCTGCCCTTCAGCCAGCTCTTCACCCAGCACACTGGGAACCTGCTCATCCCACAGTGGGACAACTTGTCCAGAAGGATTCTGTGAATAACAGTATCAAAAGCCATACTAAAATCCAGAAAAACAGCAGCCACTGCCTTCCCTTCACTAAATGAGTGACCTTATCATAGAAGGATATCAAATGAATTGAACTCAATCAGGCTTTCCCTTTGTGAACCTGTTGACTGCGTGTGAACTGCCTTTTAACTTGCAGTGACCTAAGCTGTATTTCTTTGCATCTACTTATCTTTAGTCATTGGTTTGGTTTAGTTTCTTCTTTTCACAAGTTTTTATTATCGTTTTTATTTGTTTTGTCACTGCAGCTGTTAAGCATTTTGGATTTGAGCCAGTAAGTTTCTCCACCCACCTGTCCAGCTCTGTGTTCCATCAAGGAAATTTTTGGATGTTGAAAGTTAGAAGGAAGGAAAGACAAGGTGGCCTATGCCTTCTAATGCCAGGTACAGTCTTCTGCAAGGCAGACCACACTCTGTAGAGAGTGATCAGGGGGACACATAACATCGAAAATGTAGCATATAGGTCACATAACACATAGGTCTACACACAGGGTAAAAATGCTGGTGGACAACACATCTCGTAAGGGAAGGTTCTTCAGTTCCTTGCAAGTGACTTGTCTTTCTGCTGAAGCAGCTTGGGATTGGGGGTGGTGGTGAGTCTGGTTCCATTAACTCACTTCCAGCTGAGGTGATCTGACTACTACTCAGAGCAGGGTCCAGCTTTCAGTTTGTGGAAGACCCTGCAGTTGCTACTTCAGTTTTCTGAATGTAGTTTTCCTATGTTCTCCCTGTAGTGAGTGAAAAACTCCTATAGGGCTCCTACAGTTAGTTTTCTGCTCTGAGCTGTCTTTGAGGGGAATCTTTGTGCTTGGGGATGAACTGTTCCTGGTTAAGTTATTCTTCATGCATTTCCTCCTTACAGAGCTAATAATGTCATTACAATGTTTTCTGTGAGTATGGGAATAAAGTTCTTCAGTCACTGATACATTTTAACAGTTTCCCTGAACCTTGATACTCAGATGTCACCCATTGTTCTTCTGTAGTACTGAAATGCAATGAAAAAAGAGTTGATAAAATATTCTAGAAGTGGAGGCACAAAAGTCTAGGAGATCTAATAATGCATAGATGTGCTGATATAGCCCTTCCACTTCTGGCTAGGTAGATTCAAAGCTAAAGATGTATGTAGAGTATTCTTTTTAATTACTATTTGTACACAACAGTCCAGGGATAATGTTTGAATTCATGTTCACACATATTGTACTTCTTCAGTGTGCAAAATCAAATAGAAAGGCACAGCTGTTACACCTGCTTTCCACAAATTCTGTAGTTATTGATTGACAGTGTTAAAGAGCAGAAGGGATCATTAATACGACAATGTTATATTTACAGCTGCAACCTCATTTTAATGTATTTAAATGTATAGGTTATGATATAATTACTGTAACAGTGGATGAATTTAAATGTCAGTATTTCAAAACTGATTTCTAACAGAAAGGGAGTAAAAATGCAAAAAATATTTAAAAAGAATGTCACTTTATAAATAAAAAAACTCAGTCTTTTTTGAGTAGTATCTAGCAGAATTTTTAGTCTGTTAATAGGAGTTGTATTAGTCTAATACCAGTAAAATGGTACCTTTCATGTTTTTTTAGCTGAAGCTTTTGTTACAGTTTCTGTACTACTATGCCTAAAGACCTGTTGCTTTAGAAAAACAACTGTGAAATTTTAGCTTTGTGGCTCTGGTTCCCTTATGGGACAAATTGCCTTTGGAAAAAAAAAATGTGCAAGAAAATGAGACTGTTAAAATCAACTATTATTACTGGGACTTAGTTGTAGCTTACTGTTAAATAAAAATATTTTTCAGGACAACTGAAGTGTCCTGAAAGTGTTTATATGTCTGACTAATGCTTTAGTAATTTTACTTTTGTTTACATTTTGAATAACAATGTGCTGATATTTTAGTGAGAGGCTTTTACTTCCCCCCCCCCCCCCCTTAGTTTATTGCTCACTTGGGATAAAAATTCTCTGGTTTTGCAGGCAAGAGGTACTTTAATAAACAAATACTTCCCTAGCATTAAATGGCATCTGACTACTTATAGGGTAACAAAAGTGGAGTGATCTCACTGCTAAGAACAATGTGGATTCTCTCAGTAGCAGACTGGTTATGTAAAGGTATCACTTAGCTTTATGGAGATATTGCAGATAGTTCTGAGGATGTGCAGCTTACAAGCTTTATATTATTCTACTAACACTAGTAAGTTATAAGAAAGGAGTTCTGAAAATCCTGTCGTGCTAGGATTCAATGTCATATTTGCTATATTCTTTTGAACTGACAAATATTTATGGGAAAACAAGACTGGGTTCCTGAGAAGAAACCTGTCTTCTCTTACCTGTAGCACTGTTTTAGAACACAAACAAAAGAGTAGGTAAGGATCCTGGGCAATATTTGTGTGAGTTTTCCACATATCTTTGGCACAGCCACTTTGAAGAGACTATTCTGAAATTAACACTCAGTTCACAGGGATTGAGATTTTTTCATGAAGCGGAAACTAGTTACGGCACAGAAATCAGACCTCAATTATATGACTGTCAGTCATTATATCTAAAGCACAATAGGGAGGAAGGTTGAGAAAGTATTTCTTGTTGAAAATGAATAGAGAGTGAGGTGAGAGTGAGATGAGGTAAAATGACAAATGGGGTAACAAAATTATTTAATGTCATGTACAATTATACCCTGTCTTAGATCTTCTGTAGATTTCTACTTCTGTAGTGAGCTCTGGTCTGTGGATGGGAACCATCCCATGAGGTGGAGAGTAGGTGAACACCAGCTGTATTACAGAAAACACCAGAAAAACTACCTTAAAGGGATTTTCCATCCCAGTCCAATTCCGAGTTTTGAACCTCTGCAATCTGTATTATAAAAACTTCCAGGCAGACAACAGGTTAGGAAAGCTATGTTTGCAAAGCTAAGGCTTAACTAGATCTTGCAGAAGCAGTTTCATGCTTGAAGAATTTGATATAGATCTTCAATTTTTTTTATGATTTTTTTTTTTAGCTCTCTGTGTAGAGGTAGGGTTGATTAAAGTAGAACTAGGTCTGTCAGCCAAAATAATTTTTTCATTGTATGATATGATAAAGATGTCTTTGCTGTATGGTAGTGGACTAAGCTACAGTAATAAAACTATTACATGTTGACCAAAATATTGGACAACCCTGGCTTGGAAGGCATGGCTTCAGAGTTGAATATTCCCCTGTTATAGTTCTGGATCCACGCAAGACTAAGTGGCCTTTGGCAAGTTATCTCACCTTTCTGCTTTATCTGTGAAATTAGGATAATGTACCTACATGTCAGTGTTAAGAAGTAATTAAGGGTTGCACAGTGTGTGTTCAAAGCATCGTGTAAGTGCTAAATATTAACTATAGTGTAATTGAACTGCTGTAATTTAGAATATGTTAATTGACATTGTCATATAAAATAGGATAAAACTCCAGTGCTGTAGAATTTTTGATTGTTACTAATGAACTAAAGTATCTGTCACCACAAGACAGGGAATGTTGCCAGTATTTATCTGTAGAGAAGTTTAACAAGACAACTATTGATTTTTTTTTTTAGCTTGAAATAAGAAAAGTATGCATGTGCACATACAACTACTTTAAGTGCACAGTTTAAATTAAATATGTTTTAGGCAGAAAGCTTTATTTCTTTTTGAATTGGAAACAGGACATTACCCTAGAATTTTAAAACTGTTACATTTCTTTCAGCGTATTTTAAGCTGAAAAGGCTTCTGTTTTCTGGCCCGCTTTGCTTAGTAGTTGTCACTGCAATATATAGAGGTTGCCACAGAGTAAAGTGGAAAATATTCTGTATATCACTGGAGGTGGGGAAAGAAATTTTTTCTTGAAATCTGACTTATGTATTGTACTTATTGTGTGTGTTTTAGTGACTTGATGTCTTCCAAAAGTTCAATTCCTACCTCTTGCTAAGTTTCGTTTTAAGGAGTTGGGAAGAATAAGAGACAAGCTAAGAGCAAACAAAGACATGTCAACAGAAGGATTGCTGAGAAGAGAGCATGAGTTGAGGGAAGGCAGTCATAGCTGTTAACATTTAAAAAGCCCTTTCAACGACTAACAAAATAAAGGATAGAGTTGTCCTCGTCCTGAAATGGCTTTCATATTTCTGAACCTATTATAAAAGCTTTTCTTAGAACACTTGCCTTCTAAAAACAAAATAGTTTCTATCATAAACAACAGAGGCAGCACATCAACACAAAGACTATCTTCACTTACTTTTATTTCTGGGATAGCAGAACAGGCCATTATTCAATACTACAGAAAAAAAAAAGAGTTGTTGCCCCAGTTTAACAAATGAAGAAAACAAAGACTTGAAAAATAATGTCCTTGAACCTAGCACTGTGCCAGCTTCCAGTACCATTGCAGTTATTAGGCTTTGTCCTCAATACAAAGATTTAAAAAAAAAAATATTCCTCACTTTTTAACATCATAAAAGGCACATTAGGACATCTTTCTCTAGGTACAGTCCTAGTGGAGACAAGACCCAGGTAGTTTTTATATCAGTATAGCCAGTCAAGGCCAACCATATATCTCTTACTTCAAGTTGATGTGAACCAGCTACATCAAAATAAGGAAATATAGCACTTTGCTCCCCCTAAGATTTTACATCACATTAGAGTGACTAGGCCTCTTCATTTACCACTGTATGTGGTACAGTGCTAGAATATTGTACCTGAGTAAAAATCATTTTTATTGCAATGAAGATACAGCTTTATGTATCTCAATTCTCTTCCTTCTTTTTCTTTTGTGCGTGCTTAGCACATAAAAGCACCAATAAAGGCAAGACATTTCACAGAAAGTATCTGCCAAATTCAATTATTCTGCTGGGAGTCTGAATGATGAGACAAAATCTTCAGTATTATCAAAGTGAATTGTGCTTGATTAGAGTGAAAACTCAGTAGTTCCTTTCTTTGCTATATGTTTCATCCATCTGTAGCAAAGTAGAGTCCTTTAAGGAAAAGGGAATCTAACATTTTCATATTTCACATCTGGAATTGAAGTTATTTGGAAATGGTGTGGACTAACCACTCCTTAACATACTTCAGTGACTGCTGAAAAAGATTGGAGAAAATTAACATTGTCCTTTTTTAAGTCATGTGGGCTGTGAAAACTAAGGTGTCTGAAGTCAGTTGAAATCTGTGTGTATACAGAATTTGTCCTTTCCTAACACCTTTGAATCTTTTACTGTATTGGCAAGAGAAATTAGAAGGAAATGTAGCTGGTGTGGGAGAAACAGTGTCTCTGTGTTCTCCTTTCTAGCCCTCTACCTTTGTAGTAGTTGCTCCTCCTTAGGGACTTCAGTCATATTTGTGGAAGTGGTCAGTGGAAAGGAATAAGAAATAGCACCAAGGATCTTTATATGTCTGAGTTTCACATGATCCAAAATGCTTTGAGAAAGATTTTAAAGGTATGAAAAAAATGGGCATGTTAAAACTCTGATGTATCTGCAGAGCTCCCTAATCAGAGTCCTTTTGAAAAGAAACGTTTCTGCTTAACTTTCATCATCAGTGGAGTACATAGACTTTTCATATACACCCAGTGTCCAAATAAACTTTGAATACTGCTGAAGATTTTTCTTTCCTGACAATATCTGCATTTCCATGATAGAGCTATATCACAATACTGTCTGTTGCCCCCTGGGAAAATATTTTCATTAATTTGTTTTCTGACAGTATGTGTTCCAAATATGTGATCATTTTTTACTCTTTTTGTTTACAGAAGCCTAGAGGAAGATGAATCAGGTCCATTCTAGTTAGTTAGTATGTGATCTGGTAACTTGTGTTGCTTAAAACGTAGGCAGCATGTCTCCTTGGCAATGCTGATTTTTACAGACTGTAGCTACTGGAACATTTTTGCTATACAAAAGGATATTAAAATACATATTTGCTTTGTCCATGTTCTGGGTTCATAGATTATTAATTGTGTGTCAGTCACAGCCTATTGCATTTGAGTGACTGCAGTGAAAACAAAAATTAATTTCTTTACCCTTTTTTTACTTGTTTAACACCATCTGCTTACATCACATCTTGAAATTTAAGGTAGTGATCTTTTCAAGCTCAGCACTGTATTAATAAACTATAAACTATCTAGCAACTTTGCCAAGAACCTACTGTGCACTCTCTTATACTGAAGTTGACTTCACCATTTTGGTATTCATTCTTTTAGAATAAATGACATTGAGTTGGAGGTGCAGTACTGCAGCAATTTATGCACATTTTTACTTTGAGTGTAGAAATTTGTGGCCCAAGCGTCAGGATATTTTTATTAGTCAGAAATAATACATTTTAAAAAAATTAACCTAAGCATGAATGATCATGTCCTCTTAATACTGATAAATATTTATATTTATGATAGGTGTGAGACTTTAATGGCATTGTGGTATCCTGTCTAGAGGCAGGACAGTGTCTTTTACACTAGGACAGTGGTTGTGACGTACAGGCATAGTGTGCCAGGAGGAAAAACATGCTAATGTACTGACTTCATATATGTTTTTCTGGGAGTGTAACAGGTGCCTTTTTCTATTTTAAGTAATGCATTTTTTTTCTAAAAAAATTGGGAATCCAAAGTTGGAAAGCTTAGGACAAATGCAATGTATAATGTTGTTTATTTACTAGAAATAAGTTCTGTCCAAAAGACTGAATCCTTTGAATTAAAAGCTGAGAAAAGCATATGGCAGGCTGTATGCTGCCCCTTGGTAGTTTAGTGAGTGCCTAGAGTGTTATATTCATGAATGTGCCTGTATATGGCATTGTTTAAACTGGTATGTGTATCATACAAAATCATATAATGTACATCATAAAAACACAGAGTTTTGTAGATTGGAAAGGACCACCAGGGATCATTTAGTCCTACCTCTTGCTCAATTCAGGTCCAGTTAAAGCATGTTGCACAGGGTCACCTGCAGTCAATTGCAGTATCTCCAAGGATGTTGATGCCACAGTGTTTCTTGGTAACCTGGCCCAGTGTTTGGCCACTCTTTAGGTAATGTTTTTTTCTTTACATTGAATTGGAATTTACCACATTTCAGCTTGTGCCCATGGCCTTCTGTCATGTCACTGTGTGCCTCTGTGAGGAGCCTTGTTCCATCTTACCTACATGTTCTTATTAAGTGGTTGCAGGAAGCAATAAGCTCTCACCTTCGCCTACTGTTCTCCAAGCTGTGCGAACTCATTCTATATCATGCTGCAGCCTCCTACTTGTCCTGGTGTCTCTGCTGAACTTGCTCCACTGCTTCAAGGTCTGTCTTGTACTGGGAAGACCAGAGCTGGAGACATTGCTCCTGATGCAGTCTCACAAGTGCCAGAAAAAGGGGAATTATCAGGTCCCTTAATCTGCAGGTGATGCTCTTGTTAAAACAGCCCAGGATGCTGTTGGCTGCCTTTGCTGCCAGAAAAAGGGGAATTATCAGGTCCCTTAATCTGCAGGTGATGCTCTTGTTAAAACAGCCCAGGATGCTGTTGGCTGCCTTTGTTGCCAGGGCACACTGCTGGCTTGTGATCAGCAGCTTGTCCACAGGGACCTCCAGTTTTTTTTCTGGCAAATAGGTTTTCTAGCCAGTTGGCCCCCAGCCTGGTACTGTTGTATGGGGTTATTCCATCTCAGATGCAGGATTCTGCATCTTAATGTATTGAATTATAATTATAGAATTCAATGTATTGAATTATAATGTTGTGCTAGTAAGAATTAATAGCTTTTAGTTTGTTATTTGGGAATAGCAGTGGGATGCCTTCTGAGAAGCCTAAATAATGCAGAATTATGCATAATATGACTAATTTTCGGATAGTCAGTTTAACAAAATCACCTAAATCTCATGATATATCAGGTGCATCCTGAGATAAATAAACTACAGAGATCACAGTGAGTTACCAAAGAAAGGCTAGTGAATTGTTTCCTGAAAGCAGATAATTTCTTAGACTAGTGATGCTTCAATTTTGGTTTGTATATTTATAAATAAAATAGGCTATGTTAATTTGGAAGCAAAATCAACAATACTTTGGTTATTCTGTTTATTGATCAACTGAATATTTAGCTTCTCTTGTTAGATTAATTTAGTATGGAATATTTTCAGTACTGAAAGAGTTCAAAAGATGCTTTATTCTGAGGCTATTGAAACACCATTTAATATTCTGCAGTGTTGTCACTGTATGTTGAATGGGTTTTGTATTAAGGGTTGTTCACAACTAGTGTGCTATCACATGTACATACATTCTCAAACTAAAAGCTAACTGAAATTTTTATATCGTATGTCAATTTGTATAATAAAATATTTAATGATCAGTTTAAAAGAGCAATTTGGTATTTGTCAACAAATGGTTTTGGTTTGGGTTTTTTGACTCTCATAATAAAGGTAGTTTTATTTGTGTTGTTAGCAAACCCCTTAGTGATAACACAAATCTTTACTCATGCCTTTCCCACACTATTAATTCATTTGCCCTTTTTAAGAATCTTGGAGTTTGTCAGAAATTAGCCTGGGAGGATGAATTCAGCAGATCTCTGTCCATGGTCTGTTGCAGCTTTCTCAGGAGAACTGTATGTCCACAATGTTAGGAAAATTTGGCATATTGTAAATTAAATCTCAGTGCTGAAGGCTCTCGGCTAGGAATCGTTATACAGAAGCCCAGCATTTCTGGTGCTGCCTGTGCTTTTCAGCTGATGACCCTCTTTGCTAATGAAGCATGCAGTCCTAATTTGGCATGGGTCAGAGGTAGGATGATCTTCTTGCAGGTGAAATGTTGTTTGCCACATTTTGCAGAGTATTAGTCTGAACCTGTATTTGGTTGGCACCTGTGCTCTAAAACTGGCATCCCACCTTGTGAGAAGGCAGAATGCCACTCTGACAGATGGGAAGGAATGCAAGCAAGCCAGCAAACCAGTGTATGCATCAAGGGGTCACATTTCTCTCCAGGAATGTTGAAATACCAGTACATGCAGAGCTTCAGTATCTGAAATGCACGTGTTTCTTGGCAACAACCAAAGTTCCTGCTGAATATCTTGGCACAGTACGTAAGGAAGCTTAGTGAATTTTCATGGCTTTCATAGGGTTTCTACACCATGGGAGCCTTCATATAATTCCTGCTAAGAATGGCCCTATGAATATAAACAGAAGAGGGAATGTATTTTGCAAATTATTCTTTGTTATTAATAGATTAAGAACTGTTAAAATGCCATAATAGCTTTCATGGATGATGATTCTTTTGATTAGTTAATGGTTGGTTTATCCTGGTCTGAGAGCAATAGAACGTGTG